GACTCGGACATTAAATTGTCGGCACGATTACGTGCGAACCTTCATCGATATTCCATCGATCAGGTGCTGTTGTACTATCGTACAGATGTGGCGGATACACCGCGTATTGTGGTTCCTCATGATGAGGACATAAAGTATCGTATCCTCTATGAGGTACATGACACCGCCATCGGTGGTCATTTGGGTCGTGAAAAGACCTATGGGGCAGTATGCCAACGTTATTGGTGGCCCAAACTGTATAAATCGGTGAGCACATATGTGCGTACGTGTGAAACGTGTCAACGGGTGAAACCCTCGCCCCATTCGGCAGCGCCGCTGGCTAGTTTGCCTATTCCCACAGGGTGCTGGGAGTCCATTAGTATGGATTTTGTATTTGGACTACAACTGGTCACTGACATTACTACGCGATAAAACAGACGCTTTGCGTCTCGCAGCTGCCATCTGACGACGCTGCCGTCTCTGACGAGACCGTACTCTTCCAAGTACTTGGGATATTATCATCCCCAAGGTCAACAAACCCCTTGTCATTCACCTGCCCTATGCGAGGGCCGATGTCATTACCGACATCCAGTGGGTCACTAGTTACAGTGACTTCACTAACAAGGTCATCGACCTTCACTTGCTCTATACGAGAGCCGATGTCATTCTCGACATCCAGTGTCTCAATATTACTTTGAGTATCACTCAACGGAATACGTGCCGTTCCACTAAGTGTCACTGAGCTCTGCTCGACACTATTATTGTTGACATCGGAGTTTATCAACTCAGACACTCCAAAGTCCAGCACAATAACTGAATCAGCTAATGGCTCGCGCCAATTGCACTTTTGTTTCCTAGTGAAGGTGGGTTCATGACTCTCCAAAGTTTCGCTAGGAACATTGCGCGTTGCGCCTAAAGTTTTGGATCTCCAATCGTTCCACGGCTCATGGCGTTCCAGCCAGGCCATACCGAGAATGAGATCATATCTCGAGTCCAAATCTAGGACAAGACAGCGTTCAACGCTATTGAAGTCTAAGAACTTCACACCTAAGTTCAACGGAACTTTAGGAACGGTGACACGTACACTCGTGGCGAGACGCACGGTTATACTATCACCCTCTTGCACTTCTAGCGCCTCAGCATATAGCTGACTCCCTTCAAGGGAACGACGTCGGACATAATTACCTGACGCCCCTGAGTCAATTAAAATTGACCATGGTCTCTCAAATCCTTAACGGTTGCCGACACAACCAACAAGCCTGGCTTGTAATCTTGTTCTATGGTAGCATCCACAGACCCACCTGGGGCTAAGCCCTGTTTATCTTTACCTCCTAAAGATTCAACACAACTTAGTTCTTTCCCAGTAGAGCGCCTCGCGCCTACTGGGAGCTGACGTTTTCCCCTGCGGTGCTCGCCTTTTGGCTAGGAGCAGGGTTTCGGCTCTGCCGATTTGAACTTTGCTTTCGCAACGGGCAACTAGAGCGGAGATGCCTAGTGCTTCCGCACATGTAACATCTACGGATGTTACCTTGCTGCTCAGCAGCTTAACGCTCAGCTTCTTCAGCATGGCTGAGGTCCATGGGTTCCGCCTTGTTAGAGGTATTTGATTGATACCAGGGCAGACCATATCGAGCAGATTTAATAATAAATACAGCGTTAAACGCTATTCTTACTGCCTCTTCGAAAGTCGAGGTATGAACGCGGAAAAATTCCTTCCTGGCAACTCCAGTACAAAGTCCTTTCTTAGAAATGGTTACTCGGACTTCCTCTGCCAGAGGGTCCTGCTGCATAGCAACAATGAGAGTTCTCAACTCTTGGACATAGTCCGACAATTCTTTCTTACCCTGTCGGGTAGCTAAGAAGCGTGAGCGCACACGATAAGCCTGATTAGGCGGTGCAAACACACAAGTTAATTCATTTCCCATGTGGGGAATGCAGCATTTACAGAGACATCGCTCGTTAGAGCCCACTCTCTAGCTCTTCCACCGAGCTTCGAAATGGCCAAGCCAACTCGTTGCTTATCTGATACAAGCATGGCGGCATCCATTGCCATTTCCATTTCTCGGATCCAGAGGAGAAGATTTTCACCCTCCTTCCCCTCGAAGGTCTTTACGTTTAAGACAAGTGGGCGATCCTTTGGCTGCATCGGGCAAAGGTACCAGAATGTACTGTGTAGGCGCAGCTGACGCTGCCTGTTCATGGACCTGACCGAGTAGCGTTGCTTCATAACGCATAAAGGCCTCAAGACGAGCATTTAGAACCTCGGGGCCTTGCGCCAAAAGGGCCTTGATTTGATCGGGCCCGACGAACGCCGATAGTTTATCTAAGGCAAGTCGTTGTGCCTCAGAGAGGTGATTTTGATTCTCCATCCTCACAGAGGGCCAGTCTTTAAATACTCAGGTGTAGGATTGACTACAAGTGCTACCAAGTGTAGCGGAGCTGCACAGCTCTTCATCCAGAGGAAGACTTTCGGCTGGAAGCCTCTTAGTTCTAGAGAACTAAATAGAGTTAAGGCTAAAAGCCACTTAGTTCTAAGGAACTAATTAAACGACTTAAAGTCACCCTGTTCTAAGGAAGTAGGAGAGACTTTTAGTCAGCAAGCAATAAGCTTAAGGTTCAGAGAACCAGCGCACAGAGCAAGAACAAGCTAGAAGCTTAAAGGTTCAGAGAACCAACGCACAAAGTGCACAAGAGAGCAAGTCAGAACGATTTGCGATCTTGAACTCAAAATGAGAACTGATTTTATTTATGCTTTAAGATTTTATGAATAATCCTACTCTAAGTACACTACACTAGATTAATTACTATAATAGTAATTATTATATGCAGACTTTGCTATTGGACGACGTATCGTCTAAACATCTGTGTATGATGTACTTAGTACAGCGTTATCGATTTATCGAATCCTAATCGATAAGATACGGTATTACCGAATACCGTATCTTTAACGCTTATACTTAACACTTCTCTAAAGAGAAGTATCAAAATGCATTATATGCAATACAAAGGGGAGTTCACCGTAAACTCTCGGAAAGACGCTACAACCGTCATGTAACCCCGTTACAAGTGTACTCTGCTGACAACCTGACATTAGATGTCGGCTTTGTCACAGATAAACTTAGCGACGGCTGCAAGTTATCGTGGCGCGTGCGCTTTTTGTTGGTCGGCATGAGCGCCATTGCAGGCGACCCATCAGACTTCCACGTTTCAATGACATCGTTTCTTTATTCGATGTATAACAAAATTTAAAAATCGTCTGAAAGAGGGGGATGGTGTAACGGGCTAAAATATCCGCGGTTCGTTAAGTATTCGATACTTAACGGGCAGGATTAAATGGGTACGGGGTGTCACTTGGGTGTGGCACATCAATGTGACCCACTTTCGTGAATGTGATATCCATGGATGGATTCATATTCAACGAGGATGACGCCAGTTGGGACTGGGTGTCATGGTGACGCTTCCAACACAGTCGTCACCTGCGAGCTTATATATATTTGAAGCTCGCACGTAAGGATACGCTTTTGAAGAGACGCGTATTCAAATTTTGCAAAGTTAACCAATTAGTAGTTCAGCTTATATTATAGTTAAAATCTATTGAATATAAGTCAGTCTAGAATTAAGTAACTATCGCTCACTGCGCACGAGAAGTTTGATAAGCTTCTGCGTGACGTAAGTGAGGTACTCCTTAGTTGTTCGTTGCGCGGACCGCTCCAAGCGGTCAGCAACAGATTGGTTCGGCACTTTAAGCGACCGACCAACACAACCACCACCGCACGCGGAGGTAGGACGGTATAACCGTTTCCTCGCGCTGCTTGAAGGTGTTCCCGCGTAGTACGCGGCAACTTCTTTACGAAGCGCTCGTCTACAGCTAGCATCGAGAGACATCCGATGTTTTTATTTGGAACAAGCCAAAAACAACACGATATACTGACATTGGGTTTGTGCAGCACTGCGAGCTCACATGCGCGAGTAAAAATGTTTAAAAAGCCCCACAGCATCGTTTTTGCAGTTACTTTTACAACACGTATTGCTGTATAGACAGATCTATATGTATGTATCTACGCATGTCTGTATATAAACGCGTTACGCGAGCCGTCTTGCCACCAAGGTGGCTCAACCTCCGCATGCGTCGAATTATCTCTCATTATCTACATTCTCTCTACTCTCGCCAGGGTCTATTAAGCGGCGCACGCTGTAAGCGTCGCGCTGAAGGCCATCCAGGCTGCACGATCATTTGCGCACAGGCAAAGGAGGTGCAAGTCGGGGGGCCAGTCGATGGCGGTGTCTCGCAGTAGGTTTCTTGCTTGGATCCATTGAATGTCTATCTTGTCAACAGGTCCTACCCAGAAGGGGGCTTGTTGCTTGCATTGGAAAAAAAAACATTTAAGCGGAGATGCCGGGACTTCAGGACTTCGGGCGTGGCGGCGTACATCGTAGCGGCTTGACTGGCGGCTGAGAGCGGCCAGAGAGAGGTGAGTAGAGGGAGAGGACCGTCCAAAAACTGACGAATGCCGAGGAAGCAACCGTCCAAGGCCTTAGCTAGCATCAAGCTAGCTCAGGCCTTCCGGGAGGGCGTTACCCCAACCTGACCAGGAAGCTCTATAAGCATTTGCTTTAAATTAGACAATCTGTATGGAGGCGCTTCATCGACTTACTCACCTTTATCTGAAAATATGGGGCCCCGAGATGATCGAAAAAATTCTATTTACCTTAATTGTAATAAGGCACCATAAACTAAATTTATTAATGAAGATGAAAGTCATCGACGTAAAAAAGAGGGTGCTGAGATCTGACCAATAGCAAATTTGGGGTGGGGTGATAGTTAGCAAAAGCGTGAGCAATAAACTACTATATTAAACTGACACCAAATATAGTACATGCACATGTAGGTGATAATACTGTAAAATACTATTTCAAACATATATGATTCCTACCGTATTATATACAATCATGCGTGAAATATGAAAGTACTACATTGCAAGCTGTAAGCAATATATTTCGCTACATATTGTAGAACGCCCATGAGAAAACGCACGCAGCCGGACGAGGTGTCTACAACAAATAAACGTAAGCAGACGAAAAAGACCTTTACACAGCAGCGTGTGGGCAATTTTAGGAGGTACGCACCGCCTGACCATCTCGATGTCGTGTAACAAACTACCCACCCATTTCTTGCTATTTGACATAGTTATTACACATATCGACTGGGTCAGAAACACCAGGGTGAACTAGAGGACGATCCGCGTCTTGCTGCGTTCGAGAAAAGATGGTTTGAAGGAAAGCGTGGACTTGATATTGGCTGCAATTCTGGGGAATTTACTATTACAATTGCCAAGCGATTGGCGCCAAGTTACCTACTGGGGGTGGATGTGGACCCGCAGCTTATTTCTCGAGCTAGAGGACATTTGAAGGACATTTTAAGACAGGAGCAAATTGAGAAGGCATATAGTGAGATTCCAGTAATCAAAACCACTAGTAAAGAGAGCAGAGATGGTATTGCCGAGCCTCCTGCAGATATAGATGGAGAAGCTGAGAGTGAAGGATTGCAGAAGACTACAAAGGCTATGACAAGTACAAAGACAAGTGATGGAGATACGTTTACCAAAGAAATGCCGCTGTCTTTCCGCCTATGGAAACCATCGATGCATAGTCAGGATACTGTTCCTCGAGCCATTGGTAAGGCTGCCGTTGGGTACGTTATGTAAGATTTATACTACAGGGTGCAGCGGGTCCGTGTTTACTTATATGTTTGTGTTTCCTGGGCAGGTCTGCTTTTCCACTGAACGTGATCTTTAAGCGCGAAGACATTGTATCGGACGTGCATGCTGGTAAGGATTATGACTTCATCACGTGGTAAGCTTTGCATGATTGTCTGTGCTGTATGTGGGGGGGGAAACAATTTAACGATGGCCCATGTCTATAGCCTTAGCGTTACGAAATGGATCCACCTTTTCCATGGCGACGAAGGCGTCAAGAAGATGTTTGCTAAAATTTACGAGCTGCTGATGCCTGGTGGCCGTCTCATTCTTGAGCCGCAGCCGTGGAAATCATACCACAAGCGGAAGTTCACGTCCGAAATCACTACAGCAAACTACCCCAAGATTCAACTACGACCAAAAGACTTTCCGAAACATCTTGTAGATATCACTGGTTTTCGTAGCTGCGAGTTCCTAGAGATATGTCAGACATCTTCGAAAGGTTTCCGTCGGCCAGTCTACGTTGCCCAGAAATAAGCTAATTGCAATAAAAAATGGGTTCTTCACGTGCAACCCAGCACACTCGTTTAATCACTTACCGACTCGGTTGTCTTCGTGTATGCGTCTATTTATAAGACTCGTCCAAAGCTTGTCCTCCATGGGTTAAAATGTTAGGCAAGACGGCGAATTATCTGTCCTTTGCACGCAAGAAATTGCAGTAGTATTTCGTCCACGCCACTGGAAAGCTGCAACGTAGAGGTTCAGCGAGGCTTTTCCGAAGCCTCGAACCTTACTAGCGTGAAGTAGCTCTCAAAATCCACCCTTCCGTTCTTGAGCTAATAACCACAATGTGTCGAAATTAATACGCTGGCACGTCCGGTCCAGCCGCAATCAAGTTCACTTACCCTTCCGGATGATAGCAGCGGCTTGGCCTCTTGGCGCACCGCCTCCAACTCCTCCTTGTCCCAATGTTGGTATTGATCCCTTGTGTTTCTTCCACATTTTGACTCGTTTAAACATCGGTGCATGCTTTAACGTGCACTGTATCAAAAGAGCAACAATACCATTGAAAGGTTAAGGCAACTAAGTAATAAAGCAGCACGAAATCCTGATCATTCTACCGCAATAAATACAGAATACAACAACATTAAGGTTGTAAAGGATATATGTCTGGAAACACGATAAAGAGGATCTGGCTGCCACGTAAATAAACTTGCTCCACTTGAGTGGTATTGCCGTTGATGTCAGTACGAACAGCTTCTTTCATGACACAATTCATATTGTCCTCCGTCTCATCCAGCAAACCACGATACGTCTCTCCTGTCTTCATTTCAATGGACACGATCGTGCCCTCACCGTCGTGCAGTAGGATCGTGGGGATGCCCACACCACGTTTACCCGTTACAGCCATGGCACAAGAAGCCTCGTTCGATAATGAAAATATTATGATAGCGAGTTCTATTAAGTACGAATATTAGAATTACTTTTACAAACTGTAAAAAAATACTTCATATAAAATTAATTCCGCTAATATCGCACGTTTTATTACGAGATTTATCGTACTCTCAAAACTACCGATTTGTATTGCATGCTGAGAGCGAATACTCGCAAATAGTAGACCACTTCAAAGCAATAGCAGTAAGAAGAGAAGCGACTCCTCGAATAGAGAAGCCACTTAACGGTAAGACTTCTGGAAACGAGCACGGGCGCTGGAACCACCAAACTTCTTGGCCTCGCAGCGACGAGGATCGGCTACCAGGAGGGTACGGTCGTAAGCAAGCAAGATGTCCTTAATCTCTTTCTTAGAGGCCTCGTCCACGTCTGTACAGAACCATTACACTATACATGTCAGAATTGCTACTCAAATGAGATGGAATGAGTGTCAGCAGTAAGCCTTACACTTCTGGTAGTAGGCAACGATAGACTTGGCAATAGCCTGACGGATCGCGTAGATCTGTGCAGTGTGACCACCACCCTTTACACGGATACGGATGTCCACCTATATTTCGTTGTCGTCAACAAAGACACAACACGTTAGCGCACCAATTGATCGTAGGTAGTATGGGGAGTGCAAGCCAGTTGCGACAGCATGGTATTCACACGACGGTAAACAGAGCATGCACACAGATTATTTGGGTGGTGCGAGTGCTTTCACGACAGAGCGTGAGTATTGAATAATAATGGACGATTTGTGCCATAGTAAGCAAAGTGACCGAAACAACATCGTCCATGTCAAACCACACAGTCCAAAGAAAAGTCGGTGGTGGGATGTTGACGGAGGAAGACCATGTCGCCAAAGCAGGCCAACTTCAAGTCTGTCCGTCCTTAACGTTGTAACAATACCAAACTGTCGCGCGTAGCTTGCAATTCCAAGAGAAAAAGCAAGCAATTCATCGTACGTTAGCAAAACGCTGTTGGCCCAGAAGAAGCACGGGTTCGTAGGTCTTGACGCGCAGGATCTCGGGCTCCACGAGTTCAATAGGTGTGCCATTGACCTTGATGAGGCCATGGCCGCGCTTGCAGTAAGCAACAGCTGTAGCGTTTTTCTTGCGGCCAAAGACCTGAACCGATTCAATCTTGCCGTCCATTTTCTGATTCTTGTGCGAAATTAGCAATGATGACCCGGGCGTCCTTAGCCATGCCATGTCCGGACCACCCAATCTTATAGCAGCATTTCTGCCAATCCACACTATGCAGCACTTGGATTGGACAAAAACCTAATTTGAAAATGACGTATGCTGTTGGAAAGGTACGCTGCCAGTAACCAGTGAACTGCAAGACACAACCTTCTAACTAGGTCAATAAGACAAAGCCGTTATTATGCGCCCGCTTACCGACGATGAGATGACAACGGTATTTGAAAAGATCAGCAAATACATTGGCCGTAATGTTCAGCATTTGGTAACACGTCCGGATGAGAAATACTGCTTCCGACTGCATGGTAATATTGTGTATTACTGCAGCGAGAAGCTCATGCGCCAGTCCACCAATCTCGGCACGGATGAGCTTCTAAGCATTGGAACTGCTGTTGGAAAGCTTACGAAATCCAAGAAATTTCATTTGCGAATTACCTTTCTCGATTATCTTGCTCAGTACGCCAAGTACAAGGTTTGGATCAAGCCCAACTCGGAGATGTCCTTCTTGTATGGCAACAATGTCGTCAAGTCCGGTCTCGGTCGCATCACGGAGGGCACACCGCAGTACGCTGGGGTTGTTGTCTTTAGTATGAATGACATCCCGCTAGGATTTGGTGTAGCGGCGCAAGCGACCGAGTTGTGCAAAGACCTGGAGCCCACGGCCTATGTGGTACTGCACCAAGCGGATATTGGCGAGTACCTTCGCGTTGAAGACGAGATGTTTTAAAGCAGAGTAGTAGCTTGAGCGAGGCTTGTGATTTAGCTCTTCCATAGTCAGAACTTTGTGCGCCATCGACATATATAATAGACCTTTCGCGCTTGTTTGTACTTCCACATAGTTGGTTGTCTATATCAGTTAGCTGCCTCGTTGCGTGCAAATGTTGTTGTATACTCTATTGCTTCACAGTCGTCCTCTAAATGATTAATTATCCAGCAGCATGGTCTTCATGGCACGATGAATCTGCTCATAGGCGGCAAATATGATAGCACCAGTAGGCATGACCTTGAGAATATTAGCAGACAAGCCTTTATATAAACCACGGTAACCTTCGTGTCGGATAATCTTCGTTGTGCAGTCCCATGTGCCTGTGTACTTGTCCGCAAAAAGCCCTCCCTGCTGTAAACGAGCTTTGATCACTTGGTACGGGTACGTAGCAGTTGATGCAATGGACTGCGCCACCGCCCCCATTATCAGTGTTGGAATCACGTCCATCTCAGAGCTCCAATGCGCCAAATACAGCCCCTTGAGTCGTTCGTACGCAACAAATTTAATCGCACCATTTGTCGTAAGAAACAGCGCAGGAATCATGCCCTTGTATAGTGCTGAAACACCTTCTGCAGCTACGATTCGTCGAAATGCATCTACACAAACAGCAACACGAATTACACAATTAGCTTCCAAGCGACTACCACTAGTTACTTCAACGCGGCAGACGCACCTGATACACTTCTATAAGGTGTATTCTCCACCAACTTCTTTGCTGTGTCTTTCCCAATTGCATTAGCTTGCATTCGTTTATTACTTTGAACTTGCATGCGAATCTTAATGAGCCAAATTGGGTTTGTCAAAGGTACACAGATCATTCCAGCTTCAATACCCGAGAAAAAGTGCTGCCACGATCCCTGGATCCATCCTTCATCTGCCATTCGAGCGTAACGCAGCTTTGCATTCTGATAAACGAGCATGTAGATGCCCCACGAGATCGTCGCACCATAGAGCGCCGGACTCATCCCACGGAATAGTGCGTGCACGCCCTCTGCTGCCATAATAGAGCGGAAGGCGTGGCCCAGTGAGCGGTAGGCGTGGGCAGACTTCTCATGCACCTGATAGCGCACCTTCACGAGGTCCAGCGGGTATAACATCACTGTAGAGACAGCACCAGCTCCTATGCCCGCTGTCGTGTGAATCACACTGCGCCATTGTTCCTCGGTCAATAATTCCTTCAGTGTCATCTATTGGGACAAGACAAGACTTGGAACTGAGACCACTGACCGTAACGGACGCCGTGTATGCATCTTATCAGGTTCTTGTATTCTATTGAAAAGGTTCAACTATGGCATGCGGAGTGATGGTCATTTATTTGTCATTCCGCACGCAGATGCAGCAGAACAGGAAGCGCAGAGACCGTGGTGCCCAGTTTATCCGCAATAACTTGGAGCTGCTGGGTTTTGGTAGCCGTCGAGATGCGCTGGTGCAAGCTGTGAAGGAATTATTTGAGAATGGTGCAACGAGTTCGAGACTATAGAGAAGAATAAAGATACTAAAGTTAATGTGTGCATTCCTTTTAACAGCGTTGGACGCAACACAGTCGCTAAGCTCGGACTATTCATGGAGCGATGTGCCTCTAGAGCTATTGCGGATCGATGTCAAGTTGAATGACGATACTGGTCACGTTGACATCGTGTGTGCGGATACTGGCTCTGGAATGCATGCGCACCAGGTCAAACTGCTGTGCTGCAACGCTTTTGAGACAACAAAGGTAAATCGAGAGGGCGGAGGAAGATGTACTAGTGGGAAATATGGTGCGTTGAAGTAGGGTATAGAGCTGGAATAAATGACGTCTAATGAGGACGACGCAGGTGTTGGGCTCAAGGCGGCAATGCTATACAGTCAGTTAGAAGCAAGTGACGCATGTTTAAAGATTGTTACGACATCCAACTCCGACGGAATTCTGTACGTGCAGCTTCGCATCGATCCGGACTCGGAAGAGACGGCTGTTGTGAAGAAAGTGGCTCATTTCATCGTGGATGAAGACCATCAACCATTTTCCGGGACGGAGATGCGGCTATCTCTGCCTTGTCCACAAGATATATTAGAGCTTGAAAGTGTTGCAGATACACTAACACTGTACTTCCAGAGTCTGCGGTACATCGCACCTCCGTTTGTTGGAGTGCAGTTCAACTTTAATGTAGGAGAGATCAGCACATCTGTCAATTGTCTACATGGAGAAGAACCAATCGACCGGTTTGTTGCAGATCTGGGCAAAAGTGCAGATGACATTTTATACGCGGTTCATGATGAAGAGTTTTTCTCCATCAGCTGCGTTGCGCTAATGCTTGGGGAAACGGAGCTGGGTAACGAGAGCGACATTGAGGTCAGCTTACTTCGTTTCGCCAACCACGCTCCGCTGATCAATGGCGACGACTTTTTCTTATGCGGCACCACAAAGGGCGTCTGTGCGGCAAAGCTGTGGAGAAAGTATGGTTTCCGCTGCAAGAAAAACACCTCACATCTTACGAACCAGCTCGTGGCTTCACCTTTGCGAGCAGCAACTAGACTGGAGGACGACGGTGCCGACACATCTCGACTTGTCTTGGCTATTGACATATGCGTCGCTAGCTCTGCAAGAGATACAGGTATCAAGTACGGTGGCTTAAAGAAGAACACACTCGACGCTTGCTACGCTGACGGTGTAGAGACTTGCTGTCGGGCCATTCTACAGCAACTCGCCGAAACTGGACGTTTGTGCACGCCGCAGCAGCGGCAAGATCACGATCTTGTTGAGAACTGTGCGCCACTGATTGCAAAATCTCTTGCAGCAATCATTAAGCAGTCGCAAGTTTGTCAACGTGGTGTCGTGCCGTCGCAGCTAGATCGCAATCCACAAGACCACTTCAACGAGGGGCTTATCCTGCAAGAACTTCAAGCTGCCATTAGAAACTGGTAAAATACATTATGTATGAGATAAGAGAGGTAACAATTTGAAAAAGGGCGACAATTGTTGGCCACACCAAAGCAGAAAAACATGTCGGCTATCGGAGCGCTTCGCGAGCTGGAGAAGGACAAAAAGGCATCCAACAATACCGGTCTCAAGGTGCGTTTTGTCTTAGATGGGCCTGATGCTTTCTTGTTGCAGCTACTGGGTTCATAATGCTTAGCATTGTGTTTTTTTTGCTAGGAATTGTTCATGAACTTGCCGACCCGGATTCGCCAGTCTGGTCCCGTCAAGGGCGGCATAAACTTTGCTATTAAGGTGCGTATTAACTGACAAATATGTTTTGGAAAAGGGTGAGGCGTAACACTGCTTTCGGTCTTGCTGTGGTGTACTAGAGCTGGAAGAATTCTGGCCGGTGGCTGTGGGTTTTATCAACGACATTGTTGGTGACGTTAGTGCCCCTTAGCATTGAAGTACGTTTTTAGCTGTGCTTTTTGCCAATTTTTGCATCTACGATAATGTTGACGATGGGTCCGTATGTGTTAATTCTTAGATGCTGCGTGAGGAGCAGACTAACGAAGTGGTAAAGGAGCTGGTGAGCAAGGGCTTCAGCTACAACCAGATCCAGGGCATGGGCTACATGGTGTCGCAGCCAGAGAGCACGCTCGCGGCTCCTGCTGAGGGCTCCCTCCAGTAATTTGACAGCTAGTGTTTACCTTCGCCGGTGGTCGTTGCATCGGCTACGAGGAATCTGTACATCCTGCTGCGATATTACAGTATTTTGGTCAATGGAGTCCAAAGATCTAATTACATGGGATCTGGATAAGTACGCGGTTAAGATGTTGGAAGAATTCAATGAATGAAACATGAATATCGCGAATAGTCACCGCCGTCGAATGTAACTACTCGGTCTAGAAGTTGCCGTGTTAATGCTTTTTTTCATTGCGCTCTAACTGCGAATGTGTATCTCATGTCAACACTCCTAGTCATTTTTCTTCTTTTGACTCTTGATCATGACCAAACCGATAAATGTGGCAGCGCTGCTGAAGAGCAGCACAAGTATCACCGCGGGGATACTGATGGCGTAGTGGTACGGCAGAAAAATTTGCTGAATCGGATGGTCCTCATCAATGAATGGCTAAATCAATAACAGTCGCATTGCATACTCTTTAGGGATACTAGTGGTGACTATTTGTCAGTCGAAGTGAGAAACGATTTGAAAAAAACACGTACCGAGAGCAGCACCCAAGTGCTGTAATAGACATAAACAATGACGCTAATGATTAATAGCACAGCGCCCACGGTTTGATCCGGCCCTTCCTAATCATTTCATTTAGCTGGCAATTAGCTGATGAGATGATGCGTGACGAACGGTTAAGTTACATTTTTCGCAACGTACCATGATGATGTGGTCAAATTCTCCTTTCAAAAGGACACATTTCAAATGTATGACAAGATAAATTGAGTGTCGCATTATGGTACATATTATTCTTTTTGTACCTATTCACCTTAAAGGCGTTATGCGGCGCTTTGTTGCCATTTAGGTGGCACCTTTTAGTTGTTAGCTTTTGCAAGGAGACCAAAATTGTAACGGGGTTACACGACGGTTGTAGCGTCTTTCCGAGAGTTTACGGTTGAACTCCACTTGTATTGCATATAATGCATTATTATACTTCTCTTTAGAGAGGTATTAAGTACGGTATTCGGTAATACCGTATCTTATCGATTGGGATTCGATAAATCACTAACGCTGTATTAAGTACATCATACACAGATGTTTAGACGATACGTCGTTCAGTAGTAAAGTCTGCATATAATAATTACTATTATAGTAATTAATCTAGTGTAGTGTACTTAGAGTAGGACTATTCATAAAATCTTAAAGCATAAATAAAATCAGTTCTCCTTTTAAGTTTAAGATCGCAAGTCGTTCTGACTTGTTCTCTTGTGCACTTCGTGCGTTGGTTCTCTGAACCTCTAAGCTCTAGCTTGTTCTTGCTCTGTGCGTTGGTTCTCTGAACCTTAAGCTTATTGCTTGCTGACTAAAATTCTCTCCTACTTCCTTAGAACAGGGTGACTTTAAGTCGTTTAATTAGTTCCTTAGAACTAAGTGGCTTTTAGCCTTAACTCTATTTAGTTCTCTAGAACTAAGAGGCTTCCAGCCGAAAGTCTTCCTCTGGCTAAAGAGCTGTGCAGCTCCGCTACACTTGGTAGCACTTGTAGTCAATCCTACACCTGAGTCTTTAAAGACTGACCCTCTGTGAGGATGGAGAATCAAAATCACCTCTCTGAGGCACAACGACTCGCCTTAGATAAACTATCGGCGTTCGTCGGGCCCGATCAAATCAAGGCCCTTTTGGTGCAAGGCCCCGAGGTTCTAAATGCTCGTCTTGAGGCCTTTATGCGTTATGAAGCAACGCTCCTCGTGCAGGTCCATGACCAGGCAGCATCAGCTGCGCCTACACAGTACATTTCGGTACCTGTGCCCGATGCAGAGCCAAAGGCTTGCCCACTTGTCTTAAACGTAAAGACCTTTGAGGGGAACAAGGGAAAAAATCTTCTCCTCTGGATCCGAGAAATGGAAATGGCAATGGATGCCGCCATGCTTGTATCATATAAGCAACGAGTTGGCCTGGCCATTTTTAAGCTCGGTGGAAGAGCTAGAGAGTGGGTTATAACGAGCGATGTCTCTGTAAATGCTGCATTCCCCGTATGGGAGATGCTAAAAAAACAATCAACTTGTGTGTTTGCACCGCCTAATCAGGCTTATCGTGTGCGCTCACGCTTCTTAGCTACCCGACAGGGTAAGAAAGAATTGTCGGACTATGTCCAAGAGTTGAGAACTCTCATTGCTGCTATGCAGCAGGACCCTCTGGCAGAGGAAGTCCGAGTAACCATTTTTATGGAAGGACTTCGTACTGGGGTCGCCAGGAAGGAATTTTTCCGCGTTCATCCCTCGACTTTCGAAGAGGCAGTAAGCATAGCGTTTAACGCTGTATTTATTATTCAATCTGCTCGATATGGTCTGCCCTGGTATCAATCAAATACCTCTAACAAGGCGGAACCCATGGACCTCAGCCATGCTGAAGAAGCTGAGCGTTAAGCTGCTGAGCAGCAAGGTAACATCCGTAGATGTTACATGTGCGGAAGCACTAGGCATCTTCGCCCTAGCTGTCCGTTGCGAAAGCAACGTTAAAATCGGCAGAGCCGAAACCCTGCTCCTAGCCAAAAGGCGAGCACCGCAGGGGGAAAACGTCAACTCCCAGCAGGCGCGAGGCGCCCTACTGGGAAAGAACTAAGTTCTGTTGAATCTTTAGGAGGTAAAGGTAAACAGGGCTTAGCCCCAGGTGGGTCTGTGAATGCTACCATAGAACAAGATTACAAGCCAGGCTTGTTGGTTATGTCGGCAACCGTTAAGGGATTTGAGAGACCATGGTCAATTTTAATTGACTCAGGGGCGTCAGGTAATTATGTCCGACGTCGTTCCCTTGAAGGGAGTCAGCTATATGCTGAGGCGCTAGAAGTGCAAGAGGGTGATAGTATAACCGTGCGTCTCGCCACGAGTGTACGTGTCACCGTTCCTAAAGTTCCGTTGAACTTAGGTGTGAAGTTCTTAGACTTCAATAGCGTTGAACGCTGTCTTGTCCTATATTTGGACTCGAGATATGATCTCATTCTCGGTATGGCCTGGCTGGAACGCCATGAGCCGTGGATAGATTGGAGATCCAAAACTTTAGGCGCAACGCGCAATGTTCCTAGCGAAGCTTTGGAGAGTCATGAACCCACCTTCGCTAGGAAACAAAAGTGCTATTGGCGCGAGCCATTAACTGATTCAGTTAGTGTGCTGGACATTGGATTGTCTGAGTTGATAAACTCCGATGTCAACAATAATAGTGTCGAGCAGAGCTCAGTGACACTTAGTGGAACGGCACGTACTCCGTTGAGTAATACTCAAAGTAATATTGAGACACTGGATGTCGGTAATGACATCGGCTCCCGTATAGAGCAAGTGAAGGTCGATGACCTTGTTAGTAATATTGGCTGTAAATGCGATTTACTGGATGTCGGTAATGACATCGGCTCTCGTATAGAGCAAGTGAAGGTCGATGACCTTGTTAGTGAAGCCACTGGTACTAGTGACTCACTGGATGTCGGTAATGACATCGGCCCTTGCATAGGGCAGGTAAACGAAAATGGTCTGTTGACCTTGGGGATGATAATATCTTAAGTACTCAAAAGGTACGGTCTCGTCAATGAGACGGCAGCGTCGCCAGATGGCGGCTGCGAGACGCAGAGCGTCTGTTTTATCGCATAATAATGTCAGTGACCAGTTGTACACCTTGGTCAACGGAGCGACAGGTGATGTAGATGGTGAGGTTGACCTTGAGGCCCTCCCATCATTAAATGCTCTTTTAGAGCTAGACGAAATGTCTGTGGATGAATTTCATCAGGCCTTGAAGGCAGGTGCTCTGTCCGATATGGTGGTCATTCGACCTAACCTCGAGCTGAACTCATCCTCGCTTGTCGATGAGACAGTCCTTGAAGATACCAAAGCGGCACTAAGTGCACGTAGTGGGGCATCTATTCTAAAGGACCCTTCAGATCCCTACTATCCTTTGGTAAAAGAATTCCAGGACGTGGTGTGTCACGATCCACCGTCGGTTCTACCACCTGATAGGGGTGTACGTCATGAAATTGACTTGGTTCCCGGAACCAAATACTGTGTAACACGGAAGTGGCCTCTATCAAAAGAACAGTGTGACGTCATTGACGAGTTCTTTCGTGCAAGGCACGAGGCGGGCATGGTGCGCGAGAGTAAATCTCCGCACCTGACACCCACTTTCTGTGTTAAGAAACCGAATGGTAAATGGCGTATCGTTCATGCTTATAATAAGATCAATGCGGCCACTATACCTGCACAGACGCCAATACCTAGAAAGGATGTTCTTCAGAACAATATGGTCGGTTGTACCATGTACAGTGCGCTCGACTTAGTCGATGGTTATTACCAATTGCTCATGCGAGCTAGCGAAATTCCGCTTACTGCTGTTAGTACTCCGAGCGGTATGCTCTAAGAGTGGTTGGTGATGCCCCAGGGGCTATCTAATGCTTCGGCTACGTTTAACCGTTTGGTGACGCAATTGTTTCGACCCCATCGAAGTTATGCACAGACGTACTTTGATGACATTTTTGTTCATTGTCGAGCTGAACAAGGGCGGTCAGATATTGAGAACCATATTGTTCATTTACGAGCTGTGCTCGAGTGCATGCGCACTAATAAATTATATGCTAATGCATCTAAGTGCATCTTCGGGGCAGAAGAGATTCCCTTTCTAGGGTGCTTCATTGGGAAACGGGGCCTACGAGCGGATCCCGCCAAGGTCAAAGCCATAGTCGATTGGCCTGTTGCACAGTCTCAGAAGGACTTGCGTAAAAATGGCTTGGCCTTGCCAATTACTTACACAAGTACAGCGAGAATTACGCTGATATGTCTCGGCCGTTATCCAATCTCCTTAAGAAGGATGTGGAATGGTGTTGGCATGCCGAACACAAGGATGCTTTCTAAGCGGTGAAGGCGAGCCTTCTACATGCTCCTGTTTTGGCTTTGCCAGATCCTGATCGACCGTTTAGTGTCGTCTGTGACGCATCGGATTTTGCCATTGGCAGCGCTCAGTTACAAACAGATGATGAAGGCCGTGAGCGTGTAGTCGCTTTTGATCTCGCCAGCTGAAAGCTGCAGAGAAGAACTATCCAGTTCATGACAAAGAGCTACTTGCGATGAATTATGCCCTGGTCAAATTCAGAGTTCATCTGCTGGGCTCAAAGCCTTTTGTTATCTGTACCGATCATGCGTCGTTACGCACTGCGACTCAGTCGCCGCATCTCTCGCAGAGAATGGCCAGATGGCTTTCATTCTTTGCCGAATATAATTTTGAGGTGAAATATAAGCCGGGCAATCAAAATGCTTTGGCTGATGTGTTGTCACACAGACCTGACTATGAGCTTGCTCATGTTATGACGTTGTCGTCTTCTATCATTGATCTCATACGATCGGCGTATGCTAAAGATGATCACTGTATAGCGTTGCTAAATGCTCTTGGCAGTGAGGAGTTTAAAAGGCTCGGGCATTAAATTGTCGGCACGATTACGTGAGAGCCTCCATCGATATTCTATCGATGAGAGGCTGTTGTACTATCGTACAGATGTGGCGGATCCTCCGCGTATTGTGGTTCCTCATGAAGAGGACATAAAGTATCGTATCCTCTATGAGGTACATGACACCGCCATCGGTGGTCATTTGGGTCGTGAAAAGACCTATGGGGCAGTATGCCAAAGTTATTGGTGGCCCAAATTATATAAATGAGTGAGCACATATGTGCGTACGTGTGAAACGTGTCAACGGGTGAAACCCTCGCCCCATTTGGCAGCGCCGCTGGCTAGTTTGCCTATTCCCACTGGGTGCTGGGAGTCCATTAGTATGGACTTTTTATTTGGCCTACCGAAAGATTCGCATGGCAATACAGGTATTGTGGTCTTTGTTGACCGCTTGAGCAAAATGGCTCACTTAGCGGCTGTTCCATATTCGATCGATGGTGTGGGTACAGCGGAGCTGTTTATCGATCGTGTGTTTCGCCAACATGGCTTGCCAGTGGCAATTGTTTCTGATCGTGATCTTCGTTTCACGAGTAAATTATGGAAGTCCGTCTTCCAGGTGCTATGCACCCGATTGGACATGTCCACAGCGGATCATCTGCAGACCGATGGTCAAACCGAACGCGTGAATCGCGTTGTTGAAGATATATTCTACGCAGCGTTTGTGCTGAAACACCTAAGCGATGGAGCGCTATGCTCCCTGTAGTTGAGTTTGCACTCAATAATTCCGTGCACGCCTCTACCGGCTACATTCCGCTCTATGTCAATGGTCTCACACACCCACGCGTTCCGTTAACGCTACCACCGAGTGGTTCAGGGCTTGATGGGGGAGAGGTTGCCGATCGGCTTGCTGATGTCAGCCCTAATACTGTTAAGAAACAAGTAAATGCGTTTCTCACAACGCGACTTAATGTCTTACGACATGTGCAAGATGCAATGGCTGATAGTCAAGATAAACAAAAAGAATATGCAGATGCGAAAGGCAGAGGTTGTGTTAATGATTATGAGGTCGGAGACCAAGTATTTTTAATGCTAAAAATCTACCTACCAATGTATTATCCGCTGTCTTAAAGACGAAGTTGCGCCCGCCCTCTATCGGACCCTTTAAGGTCATTGCCAAGAAAGGCACAGCGTATACGCTTAACTTGCCGCGCAAATTGTGTACACATCCTGTGTTCTATGTTGGCATGCTCAAACCATATCGGGATCCGTCCCAAGTAAACATTAAGGTGCTCGCGCCGAGCCCATTGGCATTGTCGCGGGACGAAGCATCTGCGCCAACAGGTCAAGCCGACCCTGCATTCGGGTCCGACTCTCTTCCAGGGACTCAAGCCGGAAGTTCATCGTCTGCATCACCTCACGGAGGGACCGCACCTCTTGAACAAGCTCGGCATGAGCTTGTGCCGATACACCGGCCTCCTCCGGCTTTGCTCGATGCGCAGGGGAACCTACAGCTCCATGTGGAGCGTCTACTGCAGAAGCGTCGCCGCCATGGTCAAAACCAGTATCTGGTAAAGTGGCGGGGTTATTCCGAATCGTGGAACTCATGGGAATTTGAGACTCCCCTTCGGCAGGACTGCCCATACGCCGTGGACGTTTTTGAGCGTCGTGCGCAGGGTCAGACTGTTGGCGCTGACGCTTCTCACCAGTAATGGTGTGCGTGGGCGGGTTAGCGGCCTCAGCCTGTCGTGGACTCGCGGCTACAGGTGTAGCCGAAACATTGGGATGCTGGGTAGCAGACGCATAATGCGCTCGTTGGGATTTCAATATTCCCGAGCCTTCAATTTAGCGTAATCGTAACGCATTGTCCGTTCAAGTCGAACATCTGCCACATCGGCACTTGCCCGTAGGGCTCACATGCTGCTTAAACGTCGCGCATAATGCGCCCAGCTGCTAAAAGCCGTGTCTTCTTCTTCCTCGGTTTCCCCCGCGAACAGAAGGATGGGAACACCCTTTATGGGAGGAACTGGCGTACCGCGCACTTGCCTGTTAAGGCGTGCCAAGTATTGGCTTTGCGTAGTAATGTGAGACTTCCAGATATCGTTGTCGAAGGGCCGTTCGCGTTGCAACATCCTCGGGTGAAATGGCCTCAGGCCCAATGGCTCAGCCAGAAAGGGAATGCCCAGATGCCTCCTTTGGGCGTTCTTCCACCGTAGGTGGCTTGAACCTGTACTGTCGGTGGTCTTGAAGTCTCGCCATATTCTTCGTCCGGCGCTTGGCGCCTTCCTCTTGGTCGATGGTCTGCTGTTGCCGCTCGTCGAGTGGGTCGGTAACTGTTACCGTTGATGATACGTCAGGCGAGTCACGTAACGCTGTTAGCGCACCTGCAGCACCACGTTCAGGGAACAGATTCGGTGCATGACTAGTGTCATCTTCACCCGTGAGGGTGGCTAAAGGGGACCCATAGGGTCCCACAAAGACGGTGTCACTTTCGTAATCAACCGCTTCGTCAAGGTTGTCTTCAATGAGGTCCCGAAGAGTCTGTGACTCACTGCCAGGAGGCGTCATGTTATGTGCCGTGAACAAACCGTAAGGTTTTAAGCGTTCGCTAAAGCACTACCTCTAAGAGGAAAGAATGTCGAGTGACATTCTATGGGAACGCCAGACTGGTGCGGGAGGGTGTAACGGGGTTACACGACGGTTGTAGCGTCTTTCCGAGAGTTTACGGTTGAACTCCACTTGTATTGCATATAATGCATTATTATACTTCTCTTAAGAGAGGTATTAAGTACGGTATTCGGTAATACCGTATCTTATCGATTGGGATTCGATAAATCACTAACGCTGTATTAAGTACATCATACACAGATGTTTAGACGATACGTCGTTCAGTAGTAAAGTCTGCATATAATAATTACTATTATAGTAATTAATCTAGTGTAGTGTACTTAGAGTAGGACTATTCATAAAATCTTAAAGCATAAATAAAATCAGTTCTCCTTTTAAGTTTAAGATCGCAAGTCGTTCTGACTTGTTCTCTTGTGCACTTCGTGCGTTGGTTCTCTGAACCTCTAAGCTCTAGCTTGTTCTTGCTCTGTGCGTTGGTTCTCTGAACCTTAAGCTTATTGCTTGCTGACTAAAATTCTCTCCTACTTCCTTAGAACAGGGTGACTTTAAGTCGTTTAATTAGCTCCTTAGAACTAAGTGGCTTTTAGCCTTAACTCTATTTAGTTCTCTAGAACTAAGAGGCTTCCAGCCGAAAGTCTTCCTCTGGCTAAAGAGCTGTGCAGCTCCGCTACAAAAATGGTCTAGAACTATATGAAAAGCATTTTAACGATAGACACAATGCGAGATATAAATACCATTCATCGAGTTTATCTGGTATAATTGCTGTGCATACGACTATACTTTTACCCTCGCAAGTGCGTTATCCGAGCAAATTTCAGTTTCCGACATTAATATTAGAATCATGACGACGAACAGGATTGCGTACACGCGGTCGCACATCAGTCAGGATTTGCTTCGTTTCGGGATGTGGCTTTGGCCGGTAACTTTTCGGATATCCTGAGTACAAAACCCGTCGGTTGCGTCGCGCCTGCTTCACGGCGTTATACCTCCCAATGGCGACGGTTAACACGAGAAAGAAGGCAATAATTGCTACCACTGGTAACACAAACTGCCGATAAATTGACGCAACTGCCTCCAGCAAGGTGTGTTCTGCAAATACATACCAGGCCAGCAGACGTTTCACACCAGATTCGTGCTCTGCACTTTCAAAGGACATAGCATCCTTTTCAATGACAATAAATTCACCGTTCAAGTCAGAAGTGCTCGCTTCTGGTTCCTCACTCTGCTCGTATTGGTTTTCCATCTTTTGCTTTTCCATATTCTGTTTTCTTTCCAGTAATTTCTTCTTCTCAAGCTCTTGTAATCTCTCCAATTCCTGTAGCTGTCTCAATTCTTCCGTATGAAGTTCCAACTCCTTCTCTAACTCTCGCTGTTTCTCCATCTCCAGTTCCAATTGTTTCTTGTCTTCTTTTTCCTTCCTTATCCTCTGTAACGTTTGTATATTCTTCTGTGTCACGTCTTTGATTCTCTGCAGTGTTTTTCTCCACGACGCCACATTTTCCGATGCCCTCAGCTGTAGATTTTCCACCTCTTTCATTGATTCCTCAATCTCCTGTCTCACTTCATCCTTGATTGCAACCAAATTGGCGCGTGTCTCGAGCGCAAACATCTCTAACTGGGCGTCCTCCAGCACAAAAAGACCCGTTACCTCTTGCGCGGCGCTCAGCTGATGCTCTACGCTCTCATACATCTGCATCGTCTCTTTCTCTTTAGCAACAAATGCTTTGTCCAATTGTGCTCCTGAATCCTCACCATACACGACAGCCACACACACCAGCACCAAACAGCCATACACCTTTAGCATTGTTGCTGCTAGTAAATATCTACGTTTCCTACACCAAATCACGTGGTCTTACATAACTTTCGATCATAACTTGTTTCTTATAACCTATCTTATGTCATATTTGCTCACGATGGCGGTGGTCGAGACAGTCAAGGACGACGAGGTGAATGAGCTACAGCAGCATTTGCAGCTCGAGGCTTACGGTGGCAAGTACCTCACAGCACAGGAGATTCTATTGGTTCAACTCTTTCAGTCGGCAGCTGACGTGTCTGCGTCATTGAACTCTGGAGCCAATGGCGTTAGCATCGACATGAGTGTATCGACTTCGTCCGGCATCAGCGCATCTCCTAAAGCTTTAAATGGGACGCCATTAGGTCGAAAGAGCTCATTGACTTCTATTGGTAAGATTACAGTGGGAGGTGCGACGCCACCTCTTAGTACGACACCTAAGCGTCAAGTCTCGTCGGACAGAGCGAGAGTACAGAGTTTTCTGGCTCAACGCTCATCCACATCGACTGGGGGAACCAGTAGCAATGGTACAGGAACAAACGCTGCTCAATTAACGAGTACCAAACCTGCCATGTCGGCAGTGGAACGAGCAAAGCTATTGATGGCTAAGAAGACTGGAGGGGCGGCTAGGACGGCTGCGGGGTCGATGGCTGTGAAGAGAACGAACCCTTTAACGGACATTCTAAAGGGAGGTTCCGGTAGTATTGTGGGTGGCGTGCACAATGTGAAGAGACCGAGAAGTATCAAGAGTGACAAGCCAGGTGAAATCAAGATCCAGCGAGGACGCACATCGATCCAATTGCCGCTGGAAAGTTTTCTAAGAAGCGAAGATTGGGACTCGGCCATAGGAACCCCGCTGGATATAGTGCTGCCTGAAGTGGCTTTTGCTACGAACAATACGCTAATTATCCATGCGACATTGCCGCCGAGATCATCCCGTTGCTGCTTTAATGTCAGCACGCAGGCGAGTATGCTCAGCGGCGCACCGTACCCTGGCACGGTACTATACCACTTTAATCCGCGACGTCAGAGAGGTGGCCATATCATCCAGAACAGTAACATTGACGGACGATGGGGCTGCTCCCAAGCGTTATCACGTTTCCCATTGACGTTTGGCGAGCCGTTTACCTTGCGTTTGACGATTGTGCCGACTGGCTTTCTCGTTTTTATTGAAGAAATCTTCCAAGACGAATTTAAGCATCGAGTGCCCATTCGTGAGGGTGAGAACCTTGTATTGACGGTTCCTACTCGTGATGAAAATGGAAATCCGGAGGGCGTCATTGTTCACAGCGTGTGGTGGGGCCACGCAGAGGTGCCGCCTAACCTTGATACTCGTCGGCGCGAAAGCAATGGTGGATACCGAGGACGAGGTGGTGATGGTGATCGTGGTACCCATCGCAGTGGAACGCCTGGTAAAGGCGGTGACCGTTTCCATCCAGCTCCTCATCCATTTGAGGTGTATGTGGGTAACCTTCCGCAAGGGACTTCACGCGAAGAGCTATCGTTTTTGTTTCAGTATCTGGGATACGAAACCGTGCGCATTACTGCTCGTGGATTTGGTTTTGTGACACTACGTAACGCAGAGGATATGAATCGAGCTGTGGAAGACCTGGATGGCAAGGAGTTCAACGGAATGAAATTGCGTGTGTCGTGCGCACATCCTCCAAGCCAATAGCATCTGCCACGAGAAGTCTGATTTTGTATACATGTCTATGGTAAAGACGTAGCTATTCCACATTTGTCGTTTCCATTACATGGGTACAGAGAAGCACTAATTTGTCCGCACAGTGACTTCTCAATGAACTATAGGCAAATTTGAATTTTAGTGTCAATAACGAAAAGAATCGAAATTCATAAATTACAAAAGCAGCCATGCAAAGATAGTAAATGGTCTGAAGTAGCTCTTTCCGCTCGCAAGATACGAAATAATAATATAGAGGTAGATTTAAATTGTGAACTTTGATGCGCGACAAATTAGCCCTAAATCTCTACATGAGTCCATGTAATTTTACCTTCGTGTCACCATCTACTTTTAATAATATATTAAAATATAATCAACACCCACGTACCAATTGCTATGTTTTTCCTCAAGCAGCTCTCGCGTGACCTACTGCTTCATCCGATGCATTTTGGGCCAAAATTACACGATATTATTCGTCTTCGTCTTATTGAAGAGGTAGAGGGCACGTCTATGGGTAAATATGGCTACGTTATTACAGTCACGGAGGTGCGCGATGAAGACATTGGGAAGGGTGTGATCCAGGACAATTCTGGCTTTGTGTGTTTCAATATTCGCTATCGTGCAATTCTCTTTCGACCTTTTAAGAACCAAGTACTGGATGCAGTGGTAACGGTCGTGAATCAACTGGGATTCTTTGCGGATGTCGGTCCACTGCAAGTTTTTGTGTCAAGACACGCCATGCCGACGGATCTCAACAATGGCTACGACCATGAGAGTAACGCATGGATCTCTGATGATCGAGAGGTGGAAATTCGCAAAGGATGTGGTGTACGACTGAAGATTATGGGTGTCAGTGTTGATGTCACGGAGATCGTAAGTACAGTTGAGACGACGGTTTGAAGAGCTATTTGACTTATTTTGTATGTGTTCTTGTGATGCTGGTAATGGATGTGTAGAATGCTATTGGAACCATTAAGGATGATTATTTAGGCCTCATCTCATCGGACAACTAAACTGCTTGCTTGAAAAATTGCAGCTCCTTGCAAGCAGCAATTATCGTGCTCATTTTACTCGGCAACATCGTTGTTATTGACAATGCAAATGTGGTTTTACTGTAAGCTTTTGGTGACTGACACGAGGTAATAATGCTCATTGACAGTCTGCAGCCTACAGCTCTAGAAAGCGGGTGGACTTTCGATGCTCTTTTTCCAGAAAATGTTTGATGTCGTCAAGCTCGACGTTTTCAACCTCAAAAAGATGCGTCAGTTCTGCATAAAGCTCGCTCTCGAACTTTTCACGATTCGCCCATTCCTTCCTTAGTACATCCTTTAATGGACACAGAAACTCGTGATGGCTTCGCTGCTGGCGATACTTTGGCTGGCGTGCTGGATTAGTCAAATACTCCATGTTCTTTGGGTCAAAGTCCCATAAGAACGAGGTATGGTGCAGCCAGCGCCCTCTCGACAAACTTTGAGCATTCCCGCCAAATTTGCGGTCGTTAAAGACGTAGTCATCCTCTCGTAGCGAGAATTTCTGTAAAAATCAGTAAACAAGCAGCAGTATCTGACAGGTCAGTCAGCAGATATGATAGAGTTGCAGTGATACAGACAGACCTTACCAAGTCTTTGTGACAGATCCGCGAAAAGAAAGGTGCAAAGACTTGTTGTGACCAAGTCATGATATCTCGTGGAAATGGCTTAACCTTTGGAAAGTCTTCCTGTTTACAGATAAAGGTAGTGAAGATCGTATTGTGATCGACAATGACAGTGCCACCACCACTAAAACGCTTGAGTACGGGAATCTTGTCTCTATATATGATCCACAACAATAACATCATCATTTTTTTGTATTCCTGATCAATTAAAGACGACAATAACAAAGCCAAGATACCGTTTCACGGCATTCTGATGCAACAATTGGTCTGGTTTGCCTGAAATGCCCATAACAATTGTCGCTGGTGCATGTTCATCGTTGTAAATAAACCAATTACGCTGCGACTCGACACGAAAAAGGGCTTCTTCAATCTGTAGCTGTTCTTGAATGGTCGTTCGTAGTCGTAGGAAGCTCATAAGGGGCTTCCGTCCATTCCCACTCGTCATTACTCGCAGTCCGTCGATCGCAATGTCCTCGGCGGTATCATATCTGATTCTGTGTAGTAAACCCCAAATTTAGATTCTGAGACCCTGGTATATATACCGGTATCAATCGGTATACTTGTTGGGCCTCAATATTGTTTTGACACTAGACCATCATGATGACCGAGCCGTTGCTACTAGCGACTCGTGAGCTCGTACACGGCTCTGTAGCATCACTTCCTATTGACGTTGAGGTTGTAGCTTCTGCTGTATCTTCTGCGCATTTTGCAGTGTTATTTCAGTCGAAAACGAATCGAAATTGCGTGCGTTTGAGTGTGTTTAAGACGGGTAATGATGGTGACGTCGAGACGCCAGAGATGCTCGATTTACTCTCGGAAATGGATGATTCAGTAGCCTACAAGGATAAAGAAGGCAAGTGGTCTCTTGTATGGAGCTCTGACTTGCAATTTCTCGTCATTAGCGGTCAAATTTTATGCTCAGAGGGTAAATCTGAAGGTGTTCTATGGATATTTACACGCCCTGAATGGCTGGCTTCTACTGCGGTTTCTGGAGAGTCAGTGGATTCTTCATTGCTGTTTTGTATACAGCCATCCAAGTACTTGGCTACAAAGCATTGGAACCCTGCAACAAGCATCATAAACGTCTTTTTTCCGACGCAACATGGGAGCAACGTGTTTGTCTTATCAGAGGACGGAATTTGGCTCAATGTGAGCGTACAACTGGCTAAATTGACACTGACTGCAATGAATCAGTCAACTCTGCGAGATACATCGGGGATAGTTACGATGAAAGTGGTCAAGAAGCTTACAGAGTGGCATGCAGGTGTCACGGCAGCGTGTTACGACCCACAGAACTCACTATTGGTCGTAAGCGGAGGGGTAAGAGATCCTAGTTTGGACCTGCTGGAGAAGGAGGCATCGTCGCTAAGTGTTTGGAAAGTGGTGAATGATAAAAATAGTAAAGAACCAGCCGATCTGCTGGATTTCACGATAATCGTGAAGGGAAAAACGCAACACTTACATGACGAAACCAATAAAGACGAGAGAGAGCAATTTGATGGTGTTGTAGTGACAAGAGAGGAGCGTGGTGGGCTCTTGACAAGGGTCAAGAGCACGTTTTTTGCCCCATTAAAGATGATGATAGGTAGTGAAACGACAGAATCTCATGTGACGCAAGGATTTATCCGCCATCTGGCATTGGCACCGAATGGCAACTTTGTAAGCATGGTAGATGACATCGGAAGGATTGCCATCCGTCAAATTGACGTGTGCGCGGATGTGTTGCATTGGCAAGAAGTAGAAGATGACGCAATCGCTCAAATCCACGGTAGTGCTATAAAGATGGTTGTGTGGCTGACAGTCGACTTAGTGGCCATAATGCTATCGAACAACAGCGTCAGATATTCAAGGTTGGCGACAAACTTGGAAGATGAGACTGCATCTAGGCCAAGATCTAGCGATAGTGATGGCGATAGTACTTCGGGAGCATCCGGCCGCCTTGTGCTTATCCCTGCAAGGTACTTTCGACCTTCAATGGATGTTTCAACTAGCAGAGTTCAAGCTCTCGCATTCGGTGTTAGTGGATCTCCATCAAGTGAAAAGCAGAGGATCGCATTTACTGCATGCGAGCTTGTCATTACTGGAGATACATGGGCTGCGAACGAGCTTCAAAGTTTGGGAATGGAGCCATTCGTTGAGTTGCTGATGGATGTGAAGAATTTTGAGGATGCCCTAGAGGTGGTTGCTCTTCAAGGAGGAGGTAATAATACCTGTAACGTGGACAGCATTCATCGCCGCATATGGATGCACTACCGACAGAAAGCTGCTCGATTAGATGAAAGGTGTAACGATGGCTATGCGTTCACCAATTTGGAATTTCAAGATCTTGTATTTTTGTCCACGCGACCACTCGGACTACTTCAACGTGGAGAACGCGACGAATTTTTGAATGCGTTGGAACATTTACGAGCAATATCGGACAAGCGATGGGTACTTGATGAATGCTTGCATCTTGTTGCAGACGATTCGAGCACCCACATGAGAATGATTCTTGAGATTGGTTGGGATGCATTAGTCTGCCTGAACATTGGCAGTGAGAGTTCCACAAAATTGTTGCAGGAGAACGAGGATCTCCAGCGATATTTGTATCGCCTCGAAACACTGCGGATGATTTTGTGTGAAGAAGACGGCATTTCCACAATGTCGGATGCAGGTGACCACCTCTTTGATGGGGCTACATATGCTCTGTTCAGATCGTCACCTGTTGTGACACTTGCGAAACAGTTTGCACGAGAGGGACGCGTTGATGCAATTAAGATTGTACTTCGCCGACACGGATGGAATGTACTTCCTAGCTGGCTAGATATTCTTGGGCTGCTTCCACCCTCAGTTCCGCCCTCTACGTACGCCGTATTACTCCCGGCCATTGCTGCTCACATAGAAGACGATGGTGAGATCTTTACCCTGAGCACGTCAAATGATCTTGATGCTGGATGTGATGACAATAACGACTCGGTAGTTCTAGTTGCACTTCTTGAAGAGAACCGACGTAACGACCTCACTGATGAGGAGTTATCGAAGTTTGAAGAATACACGAGCATAAAACGCGAAGATCGCAATATAGCATACGGTGAATGGCTCACAAGAAGAATTTTGGAGCTGGACACTCGTTATGGCCAGCTTGCTTTCGCATATGAACTGAGCAGGCTAGCCACCAAGTGTGTATACGGATGGTCTAACTCAGAAGCCAAAAAGCCGTTGGAGCAGCTTCTGTTGCACACGGAGCGCTTATACAAGTGCGTCTATCTGCTGCACTTGTCAGCCTGTTGTTTGCTTCCACTGAATAGTTGGTCAACGCTATCGATGCGCGAGCAAGCCATGATTGTGGTGGGCGCTGACGAAAAGAAACTCGCTGCAGATGTTACTTCCATCATCAGTTGGTTGGATGTAGTGTTTGTTGCCCAGCGCCGAGATTGCACGTATGCGCTGGACGATCTATTCTCATGGCTGGCGCAGACTATTTTAGCCAAGTCCTCACTGTCGAGTCTGACCCTTGCAGCACAGTTGATTCAACGCAGTAGCCCCTCGATTGAGTCATCTAAACGGTGGATTCAGAGCGACACGCGGCTTGTCAAGACCGCACTCGATAGTGTTTACTCAGTGAAAGTATCTGAAATCATTGGCGACAAATCGTCAAGTGCGGACGACAATGCTTATATGCAGTGTCATCTTACACTCGTCGAACAACTGTGGACGATCTTCCAGTCACTACCTGCTCGAAAGGATAATGATCCACCGGAAATGGCTCAATTGCACGTGGCTGTGGATGAAATGGAGGACTTGCTGATAACTGTGGACGTGCTAAGCAAGTATAGAGTGGTTTCCTCACCCAACGAACTTAAGTTCAAGATGCTGGTAAGCAGCGATGGTGTAGTGGGTGGTGGCAGCAGTGTTGGGCCGCTTTATTTGCTTGAACAAATGTGCTCATTTGCCTTATCTGGTCAATGCTCTGACGATGAAGAACATGAGATCGAAAACCAGTGGCTAGACGTTCTGCAAGATGCAGTCAAGTTAAAAGAGCATGCGTTTGGTGAGCGTTTGAGTCAAGAAATGATCCTGGACGTTCTTTTAAGGCATCTACTTGCCCCTGATTGTGCCTATGTTGAGGCTGCCCAAGATCTGGTGAACCATTGGATAGCCTCTGACGTAGAAGCTGTTGCACATGTGCTTGATGGATTGTTCGTGGCGATTCGAGCGAAGCTAGATTCTCTTACTGGATATACAGATGATATTAAAGCGAATGCTGTTTACCAAGCTGCTATGAGCTGCATTGGCATTGCTCGACAATTGCTCTCTCTTTCATTATGGGACGAAGGAGACCGCGCAGCTTCTAGAGCCAAACAAAATTACGAGGAAGCTCTGTCATTGGAGTTGGATACAGTACACGCATGTGAGTTACTTGATTTGCTTACGTATGGCACAGTTAAAATGTCACCACCACAGCTCCGGACCAGCGAAGCAAAGGAAGATAATATGAACATTCGACTGGATGCCGTTTGCCAAGTATTCGTGAGTAACCCAAGCAACTATAAACCGTCCGTGCGCGCCAAGGAATGGCTAATACAACACGACTTTGGCAAAGTTGGGCTTTCGAAAGCAGAAACGACGGCAGAATTATGGAGTGAACCTCTGGCAGCTGTAATGCAATTGACGAGATTGTTGCGGGTAGATTCACAGAAGGTAAAAATTTGGATGAAGGGCGCGTATGCGGCCTTGTATTGCATGGATTACGATGTTGCGTATGATTTGGCCATGCAAGTAATCGTTGAATTTCCGGCCGAGACAGATCTAGTTGCAGATCACCGTGATAGTGGCGATGAATTGACGCTTCAGCACTTAATTTCGCTGGTGCTTGATCTTGTTTCTGCTTCGTCCTTCTGTTTATGGGGAAAAAAGCGTAAGCTATGCTGTGCACTGTTGAGTGCAGAAAATGTCTTATCCGCAAATCTTTTTGCGCACCAAGTAACGGATCTGGTGCTTTCGTGGTTGGAGAAGATTGATGCTGTCCAAGCTTTAATGCTCGAGCTTGGCTTGTCAGACAACGATTTGGAGCAACGACGACTAGCCGAAGACAAGATCAAAAGCAATGATGAAGATGTGCTGTTAGATGAGCTGAAGGTGGTTGTTGACTTGCTGCACGAAGAAAAACATGATCGCCAATTCTTGTTACGATTGTTGCATCGTGGGGTACGACTGATTTTCGCAATCTCCAACAATATTGCTAGTGTCGGAAATTTCGATAAGTCCGGACTTTTGATGACATTTCTCCAGCAAATAGTACAACTTTGCGTGGAAGAAGCGGCCGAGCTTGTGGCTACCCCCATTGCTAGCGATCCGGGGGACTGGCGACGGTACATGGAATTGGGTTTCAGCTATTTAGTAGTGTTGGGCGACCGAAGCAATTACGATAAAAAATTTGAGACGTTTTGCGTCGATGAAGTTCTCTCTCGAGTATTCACCGATCAATCAAGACCGAATTCAGCAGATGCCCCATCTAGTGAAAAATTGCAGACAACTGACGTCGTCGTACGTAGCATGAATCATTTCTTCCTGCTCCAAGCATCACAAGCAAAGGAAAGCACGGCGGAAGATGATGTGGAGGCTTGGCTAAGTCGTAAAGAGCATTTCGACGGTTTCTCTTCGTCATACGAGACAGCACGGAAAGTGGTAAATTGCGCCAATCTTTTACACAATAACACTTCAAATGACGCAGCTCCTACAGCTGAGAAACCGAACAAGTTGCAGCTCCTGATGCTGGAACGGCGGCATTTGGTCTTCGTGAAATTAGCTGAACGATGCCAAGAATGGTTGGCCTCACACAAAAAGTCTCATGAGCTGGAACGAATGAGCACGTTTTTTAACACTGAATTGGATTTAGAGCGTTTCTCGCAAGATGAAGACTATCGCAATAACAAGATTTTGCTACTTGCAACGAAAAAGGAACACCTTCAGCTTTCAAGACAGTTTGCCAGCAAGTACGGTTTCGATGATTATGAATGCGTGCTGACGTACATCAAAAGTGCACTTCTCTTTCCACCAGATAGGAGTCGGGCTGGTCGCCGTGAGCAGCTGGACCAGGCATTTGCTATTCAAGAGATCGACATTTTGGAAGAAGCTTTGCAAAGACCGATATCTTTTGGAGACTTATTATTGAAAAGATCGACGGCGGAAGCTCCAAGTTTGTACGAAGCAATTGATGGAACGGATCATGTCGGTGTTTTGCTCATGTTACGTATGGTTTTGGAGTGCTCGAAGCGAGCTGGCCAAGAGTCCGCAGAATCATTGTCACCCCATGAGCAATCTCTTTTTCCTCTGCCTAAAGCCTCGACTGACCGAATCACGCTTTTATTCATGTGCTTGAAGAAGCTAAAAGAGATTGCGGACTCATTCGACGAGGTGGATTCTGTTGACCTAAAACTGATAGGTGTAGCATCTACACCAACCAAGCTATTGACCCCTATAGCATCATCACATACGGATATGACAGCCAATCGGCAGGTAGCCGTTGAAGCAGCACGGCCACTCTTGACTGGCAAGACCATTAAAATTGTAACCAAGATCTTGCGCAAGCTGCATCATGTAACACCAAGTTCCATGGTCATGATATATGTCAACAACACACTGTCAAACATATGGAGTGAACATGGGGTATCTGCCACCAGTGAAGCTAAAGGTGCAGACTTGGCATCGTACGCATACGAGACGTGTGCTCCATATCTTTCTGTGCTATCCAATGAGCACTTGTTGCTATTCCATCACTTGTTCTTGGATGGATGGAAAAGTGAACCTTTACCCGAGTTAGTGGCGCACATTAATATTGCAGAGGAGTTTTATGGACAGCAACTGAGTGGTCTGCAGCGCTTTGGTGCACTTTTGACACTTCAAAAGCGCATGGAGCTTGTTGCAGATACATTGAGACTGATTCAAACGAAGTATGACTCATGGCAATCTACTGGACCACGCTCAAACGATTCGTCAGCTTCATCCACAATTTCTTTGTTGTCCGTATCCGGGGACTCGACACATTATATGCGGAAAGAGCAGGAACTGCACTATCTCGAGCGTGAACTGGCAAACAATTTGTGTTGCTTGTTGCTCAGTGAAATTGAACAGAGCGAGTTAGCTTTTGACGACAGTGAAACCAAGGACAAGACTATACAGTCGCTGGAGCCTGCTACAGTGGCGGTAAGGGCTTGGTTTGCGATGGATTCTCTTCAGCAAGCAGCTAGTGAAAAGTTTCTTCACAGTACTGTCTTGATGGAACTTTGCCAGCGCGTAGCTTCCGTGGATCTGGCTACTCTCATCATGGAACTGGTACTGCGTGCCAGTGGAAGCAAGTCTAGTCGTGATACTGCTGCAAATACAATTGCTCACAGCTACAAAACGGCCGTGACCAATCTGGTTGAACGATGTGTGGGCCCTGAAGAAGATGGAGCAAACTATTCTGTACATTGGGTAGAGCGTCTTACCTGGATGTGGGCTACGGGTTCATCTGCTCCTAGTAGCAACCAGATAGCTGAACTTGCAGACTATCTCCGCGTCACATTGAGGATCTCACAGAGCGAGAATTGTAAAGCACATGCAATTTATAAACGTGCTGTATTGCAGCTCAAGCAGTTACCGTCTAAGCTACTAAAGGAAATTGGATCGAGCCGAACTGAAGAGCTGCAGATCCCTGCGGAAAATGACGCTTCAGGAAAGAATTTGGTTGCGCTGGTGCATGAAGCTGTGCTGGCCCAGTGGGAACAGCTGATCTCGTTCAAGGAAGAGCAGCGAAAGTGGGCGGAAGCTGCAATCCTGAGCCACGTGCTGTTATCTTGCGACGCCAAAATGGGTATCATTGCTGATTATGTTACATGGGACTTTGGCCTTCACGTTAAAGCTGTTTGGTCTACCATGCTCACGAAGCACAAGATGGATGAAAGTACCGAGCAACAGTGTATTTTCGAAGTCCCAAGCCGCGAAATCCTTGACCGCTTCACCACCGTATTTATGGAGCTGCTAGTCTTCATTGAAGCATGCTCTCGTGACAACAACCCCAATGCTTTGCGTTTTGCAGAAATAGCAACGGTGGCATTAAGGAATTTGCTAATCCGCTACGACAATGTGCGTGGCAATTCAGAAGGGTCTACACACCAAGGCGCTTATGCATGGCATAACGAGCAAAAGTTTGCGGTGCAAATACGTGCCCATGCACAGTTTCAAGTGGGCACTACGATCAAGAGACCAGCAATGTTACAAAAAGTGAAAGTCGCAACCTGTTGGTCGGCTCTCTTTGCACGGGGCGTCTGGGGTGCTCAACTTTTGAGTTGGTACACGTCGTATGCTTTCGAAAAGCTTCATAGCGAGAAAGAAGCTACGGAAGCGGTGATCTTGGCTCATTGGAAAACCAGCAACATCGACACAGCAATCCAACTGCTTATGATGTGTCCGTTTGATGATTTGAGAGAGAAGTACAGCGATCGCCTTTGGCTGGCTGTACGACAACTCCCACAAGGATCGCGCAGCTGGTCTACAGCTATGGAGCTTGCACTGTTGCGCTTTGATGTTGCAGTACTTATGCAGCACGACCTTCACTTGTCGGTGGTGGCCTTCTTGTTGCAAGATTCCAACAGAAATCCTGCGCTTTGGACGTCCAGCGGTGCCTACGTCGTGTGCGCATTAGTGACGAATGGCGAGTTTGCAGCTGCTGGTCGTCTAACTTGCGCGTTGCGCCACACATACCCGCTGCTTTGGGATATAGAGAATGCCCGTCTGCTGCTGGCAAACTTCCTCCAGTCTCTTGTCTCGTCGTCTGTGCAACACAAGAACAAGACAAATGTTGACCTCTCTCACCTGCAGCATGAAGTGTACGTCCAGACATCCAGTCACTTTGCAAACGCATTTCAATAGCGTACGTTTGCATATTGATTATGTCATGTACCAAAATCCAATAACAGCTTGTTTGAAGAACTTTCTCCTCTCTGTCTTTGAATCATTTGCCTCTATAGGTTCAGCTTGAGCAGGTCCACAATGTGCGGGTTTCGCCAGTCCTTGCTTGGATCTTCCAAATGTTCTTCAAAGTCCACCACGTCCTTTTGCACATTCTGTTGTAAACCCTCCGTCAGCACTTTTGAAGCACCATTAGCAACGTTCACTCGGTTTTCCATTCGAATCCAGCCTCGTTTCACGTCCTTCCGTAGAATCTGTAGACCAGTCTCTGTCTCTGTACCAAGCTGATCATGATCGACCTAGCAAAAAAAACAATATATACTCACATTTTGTCAAATGGTTAATTTTTTTATAAAAAAATAGTCTTTTTTTTCAGTAACCCTTACCACCAAAACACAAGCCCGGGCACAATTTTGGTCGATTTTATCAGCCACTTTTTCCACAAAGTGACTGATTCCAGTGTTCGAATCAGATGGAGAATACCCATTTCCAGCATAATAAAAACCTATGATCTTCCATTTTTGACTCTTTTGACACGACGCGTCCACCATTGCACACGCCACTTCTAAAAGCGGCGCCAATGGAGCTTCATGGTGGAAAAGTGGCACAGCATCTAAGATAGAAAAACCCTGACCTTTTTCTTGACCAAGTAGAATGCCACACACGGAGTTTGCAGGCCATTTGGCTGCGTGTAGCATCAGTTTTACATACGTCGGTGTCTCGACTGAGTACACACCGTCGGCCATGATGGATATCAACGTTTGACTTGGATAATATATGGTGACATTGTTCGTATAGAGGAATGTACAAAGTGTATCCGATGTTCTTTTCAAGAGATGGCATTCTCATGAGGGATCTCACTGACATCTTCAGTTTGTGTGGTGCTTGTGTGCCTCATTCATGTGGTACTTACGTAATAATGATGCACACTCTCGAGAAAAAGACTCGTCACTCTTTGTCAATGAATTTATCACCATCGGACTCATTATCGTCCCCAACTTCATCGTCTTGTACTGGCAATGACTCAAATGGTTCTTGTACGTCGAGAAGACCTCGTTTTCCGCCAGTATCGACTCCAATTTATCCTTCAAAAGTAAATCGTGTCATTTTTAATGCAAAGAAAAAACATCGATCAGGTATAAAAATAATAATATTATGTATAAAAATAATAATATTATGTACTAAAATAATTAAAAAACTAATTTAGTCTGTACTAATTATACAATATATAATAATGTGATGTAGATATTGATCCAGATGCTTGGAATCGTGAGGGGTTTGCTGGTTCGAATGTGTGCGAGTTATTACTGGACGAATCCAATCGCATTCGACGTGAACATTGTAGCAAATTAAGCTTAAAGCGCTTTATTGATGAATATGAACGTCCAGCTGAGCCTGTTGTAATTGACGGTATTCCAGAGGCTGATGGATGGGGTGCTCTAAAGCGTTGGTCGTTGAAGAAACTGCGCAAATATTACAAGAATGTGGAGCTTAAATGTGGCGAAGATGACCATGGAAAATCGATTCGCATGAAGTTTAAGTACTTTATGACGTACTTGAATCATCAGACGGACGATAGCCCGCTTTACATTTTTGACAGTACGTTTGATGACCATGAGGACACGAAGCCGCTGCTTGATGACTACAAAGTGCCAAAGTATTTTCCAGAAGACCTATTTTCTTTGGTTGGTGAGAGCAGACGACCACCATACCGCTGGTTCTTGGTTGGCCCCAAACGCTCAGGCACCACACTGCATCTGGACCCGCTTGGCACCAGTGCGTGGAATACACTCATTGTAGGCCGCAAACGTTGGGTGCTCTTCCCACCGCATGTACCCAAGCATCTTGTGAATGGGAAACGATACGTCCGTGACGATGAGGATGACGAAGCCGTTAATTATTTTATGGATCTGTTGCCACGTCTAAAGCGGGCTTGTCCGCGTGAAACATTGCAGTGTGTTGAATTTATGCAGTACCCCGGTGAGACTGTGTTCATTCCGGGTGGGTGGTGGCACGCCGTGTTTAACGTGGACGATACAGTGGCAATTACACAGAATTTCTGCAGCTCGCAGAATTTTCCCACTGTGTGGCGCAAGACGCGTAGTGGTCGTAAACGTATGGCAGTCAAATGGCTCAAAAGACTGGAAACCTGTCATCCAGAGCTCGTGACGATGGCGATGGAGCTTAATCAGAAAGACAAGTATGTCATGTACAATAAGGAACGCAGCAGTCGGAACTCTTCATCGTCTAGTTCACGCAAAAGGAAGAAGAAAAGTAGTTGCTGTGTTGATGAGCTAGAAGACCGGCTGAGAGATTCACACCATAAGAGCAAGAAGAAGAAAAAAAATATTGCTGACGTAAGCGTGTCATGGAGACAATAAAGATGCATGAAGAATAGACGTCGATTAATTTGCAGTGTCAGATTTGTACCTGCTTCATCGCATTGATCTATTTTAGAAAAAAAACGAATTCGTCCTAAATTTACAATACTAAAAACGTCACTCAGTCTACAGAATTACTACTACATACCGTATCAATTTCTTCTATTTGTTCAAAGTCTCTATTCTTTTCACCATGGCCACTAGTACCAAATTCAATAAAGTGACCACTAAGAAGAACGTTGGCACTTGTGCCATTAAAAATGCACTGGAAACTATTCGTAAAGGAGAATTTGTGATTGTTATGGACAATGAAGATCGGGAAAATGAAGGAGATCTCATTGCTGCTGCGGAATTTGCGACAGAAGAACGTGTGGCGTTTATGTTGCGTCACTCGACAGGTATTGTATGTGTTCCAGCGCTATCCAAACGCATTGATGAGCTGCAATTGCCTCTTATGGTGGTACAAAACACAGAGGTCCATAAGTGCAAATTCACAGTTACAGTGGACCTTAAAGAGGGAAACTCGACGGGCGTCTCGGCGGCCGATCGTGCCCGTACGATCCGTGCATTGGCTGATCCAACAGTGGGTCCGTCCGCTTTCAATCGCCCCGGTCATATCTTTCCTTTGTTGGCTCATAACGGAGGTGTCATGGTTCGTGCAGGACACACGGAAGCGGCTACGGACCTCGCTCGATTAGCGGGTGTCAAGCCCATTGGATACATTTGTGAGATGAATGATGACAATGGACGGATGCTACGTCGTCCGCAATTAGAAGAGTTTTCCAAGAAATATAACGTGGCAATGATTACCATTTCGGATCTCATTCGCTATCGCTCACGTTCTGAGGCTTTAGTGCAGAGGATGGAGATGAAAGAGACAAAGGTGGTTACTCCTTTGGGAGAGTTTCTCAGTATCGAGTACAATTCGCTCGTGCAGGATGAGCAGATATACCATGCATTGGTGTTTGGTCATGTGGAGGACGAAACTGACGTGCCGGTGTTTCTGGCGGAAGATGGATTTGAGGCTAGTTTTGAGGCGCAGTGGGCTCAGCAGCACATTGTTCGACACGGATACGGCGTACTTATCTACGTGCACGGCTCGGCGCAATTGTTTCAAATTAGTGGCGAGCTTATGGCTCGTCAAAGCATGTTTGGCATGGCGATGCAAATTGCGCGCGACCTCAAGTTGGGTTCGGTTCGATTGCTGTTGACGCAGGAGGTAGCCTTTGATCCGCATGGCTTTGGTGTTGAGATTTCGGGAAGTAAACGCCTTGCTGCGTCAGTGTAAGATCGATAGAAAGGTATGCATAGAACATTGATAGGAAACATTATAGATGCACTGCTGCTATTGTTGTGCTAAACTTTCGTACTAGGTACCTATGAAATTGGAGACGCATACCAATAACAATTATGTAAGAGCATTATGCATGCTGATACTGGTCGCTGCACTACAAGCTTGAACAATCTTCTAGTCTTGAATCAGAATTTGTCCCCTATATCACTTACGCGGGACCTTGCGGTATGCCTTCTGCTTCGTGGCACGGTAGCGCACAAAGAGCAAGTAGCCTCCCACAGCGGCGACAGGAAGAATGTACCACGCAAATATTGTAACGCGGGGAGCTGTGACGCTTCGCAAACCGTCCTCGAGCTCAGTCTTCGTGTTCACAACAAGCTCCTTTATGTTAGCTGCATTCTTAATGCCAAGCTCTGCATCCTTGGGACGATAGTCATAGCCACCCTTAGGCTCCAGTGCGATGGGCTCCTTTGTCTTCGACGCTGACTCTTCTGCGGCAGCCGTATCCTTGATCTCCTTGGCCGCCTTTGCATCTGACTTCGACTTGTCTGCGGCAGCCGTATCCTTGGTCGCCTTGGCCACCTTTGCCTCCGACTTCGACTCTTCTGCGGCAGCCGTATCCTTGATCCCCTTGGCCGCCTTTCCATCAGACTTCGAATCTTTTGCGGCAGCAGTATTCTCGGTCGCCTTGGCCGCCTTGGCCTCCATCTCAGCTTTCTGAGTAGCCGAAGGAGCCTCTATCTCTTTCTTATCTTCACGACGCAGGGATACCGGTAACGCCACAGGGGTAGTATCTGCACCTTGCACCACAGGAACAACTACGTCACGATAACCAAAAGTCTTGCTCAGCCACTTGTCTACTTCCAGCATTTCCCAAGCACCTTCAGTGCCGCAGGTCGGGCACATATCGGGCTTCGGCCAAATAGGGTGGTGAAGACGTTTGTTGACAGAGTTGTGCTGCTCCCATAGCCAGCGACGCAACGCCAACGGCTTGTTCTCAGCGTCTTTAATCTTCTTCACAGCCTCCACAGTGTTCTCCTTCAGAAAATGCTCGCGGCAATCGGCACAGCCAAAAAAGTACTTCATGAAACGACGGATCGATGCCGCCACTGACACCATGAGTTCGTCGTTTTGTGCTCCTGTCTCAGGCGGGTTTAATGTTAGCATGTGAAACATGTTCCATTGGCCGCACGTGTAAAGCGCACATGCACGATACGTTGCTCCTTGCCCAATAAACAAGTCGTCCAGCCTCTGCCACTCGGGAATGTTAGCTCCCGTAAGATCTAACCGATCCGCCTCAGCTTTAAATGCAGCAACAGACCCTTTCTGCCATGTCTTTACAATTGCATCCCACGTGTCAAAGTCCAACAGCTCCTTGTCCATCACTTTCTCATACAACGGCGCGATTACTTTACGGTTAATCGCACCAGGAAAAGTCTTCGACACTACTTTTAGCCAACCCTTTAGAGCGTAAAACTCCTCATCCTTCATCACATCACTAGCCATGAATGCACCCTGCTTCAGTCCGAAGACAAAGGCCGATGCAGCATCCTGGATACGTGTGGTCTTATTCATCGGGAGCGTTGACTCTTCCCAGATCGCTGGCTCCGGTGTGTCTGTACTGTTCAGAGCTTCCTTCTCCTTCAATGTCGTATTTTTTCCCGCAGCAGCTTCCACCAGCTTTGGAGGTGTATAACCCGATGGCCAACTTCCCGTCGTATTAAAAACTACTTCAGCATGCACGTCTTTCACAAATTCCTTAACCTCCTGCAGCGTATGAGTACCAACGACCCTCTTGTTCTCCATTTTAGGGTTCAATTTGTCAAAATTAAGTGCCATGAGCGTCGGAAAACCCGTCACTTCCACGCGACGACACTTTACTTGGTCCATGCAACTCACTGCACCCACGTAAATGGTTCCCTTTTCCTTGTAATAAGCTGCAGCCTCCATAAATACAGGTGCAAACTGTTTGCAATGTGGACAACTGTTGTCATTTTATACAAAAACATCATATCTCAGTCACTTTTACAGCCTGATATAATGATAACACGACATTATTAACGTCAAAATGATCTACTCATTTACGTACAAGGGGTGATAAAAGTCGACAATCCATGGCTTATCCGTCTTGTTCATATACTGATCCCAATTCATGTCGGTTAAGTACGTAACGTTGGGGTGCCCCTTTGGAAAAAGAGGCTCGCCCTTCGCTTTGGGATCCCTAGCCGCACTAGAGGCCAACGTAGGCAAAGCCAGTAACGCCACAGCCGACACTAACGCTAACAGGAACTGCATACTTGGACGACGAAATTAACAGGATGGGGCGCTTTGATGTGTCAAATCGTAAACTGATCACACAATTGTGTGGGAGAGTTTATTGGTTATATCTCGATATATACTGGATAATGATTGTGGATTGGATAATTTGACGCCCTATCAAATACGCTTACAATGATATGATTGGTCCAAATGGATATTTTATTCTTTACGAAAGCGTCCCATTCTTACACTTGCAGATTACGTTGTACAAAGAGGAGGAGGTTCGAACGGCGAATGTGAAGGGCTACATAAGTAGCATGATTAACAAAATGTTTTATACTTTTGTTGCCATTCGGCATGTGTAACCTCAAGATCGACCAAGTTTATCACCGCTTTTACTTAATTGGCTACGTTGTGTCGGTGCAAAAAACACTGGCACCTTTGGTCGATAAGTTTTATTGGTCAAACCGCAATCTTATTGTAACGAGGTGAGCCCGTTACATAATATTGACACTTATATGAAGTGTCAATAAAAATATTATTATAATTAATAATATTTGACAATATTACCTTTTCTAATAATATTGTTCCTAGATCTCCTTGAAGTTGGAGATGCCCTCTCATTGGTTGATATGGGCCATCATATCAACCAACGCGCTGACCAATGACCGATGGACGCGCGCAATGAGTGGAGGGCAAGTCGTCAACATACATAGTTGTAGTTTAATATAGTTAACATAGGTTATAACAGATTAGTTTTATTAAGATAGTTAACTATATTAAATACAGTTCTCTATTTCTAAGCGTTTGTTTAGAAGTAAAGCTTCCTCTGCCTCTTGTGTAAGAGAGGTAATTGAAACACCTGCTTTCACTGTAATCAGTGAAAGTAGACTATACTGTAATCAGTATAGTCGGAGGGTGCCCCATCACACCTGGTAGCACTTCGTGGTCCGTTCAGCGACCACCGCACCACCCGCTATGGAATCAGCGGGTGATGAACGTCATCACGCAACGCGTGATGATTTCCGCCATTTGAGTGACCTCGAATGGAATGTGGTTCAGCGTATGGCTGAAACCATCGGAACCCCCTGCCATGCTCTCCGAACCACATCGCCAAGTTCATACAACATGAACTTGACGAAGTTGTAAAGAAACTCACCTTGCTAGAGGAGCAAGGTTCTCAACAGGCTGAACTGTTGAGAGAACAAGGCGCTCAACAAGCTGACTTGTTGATGCAGCAGGGTGCTCAACAGTCTGAACTGTTGAGACAACAGCAGGCTAGTGCTGTTGCTGCCGGGTCGGCGTATGCACGTCGACCCGAGTCCTTGAAGATTGATGCCTCCAAGTACAAGGCAGTCGAAAGCGACTCCTTGTTGAGATGGTTCGTCGAGCTCGACGATGCCATTGAGGCTCGTCGCATCGATGACGATGCGATGAAGGTCAAGTTCGCCATGTCGAACTCGTTAGCTGTATCGTACTGAACCCAATCGATGAACACACGCAGGTTACTGTGTTCATCAAGGGTCTGACAAATGGTCCTGTCAAGACCCACCTGTTCCGCTTGGAACTAAAAATCGCTGGATCAAGCGATCTCTGCAGCGGAACAGGAGGACTTTAGCCTACAACAGGCTAGTCCACTCGGGGTCCTATCGTCCACCGAGACGACAGGAGGGCGGAGGTCCAGAACCAATGGACCTCTCGTATGTAGAGAGCAAGCAACCTCGCTCTCCAGGGTACAAGGGATTGCAAAAGTGCAATCGCTGTTAGAAGTTTGGCCACTACGCTTATGAGTGTAGTGCCCCACGCCCAGTGTCTCGTAACACTGGGAGTGACGGTCGACCGTCTGCCAAGAAGGGCCAGAGACGTGGGTCCCACGTTGCTGCGAAATCGCAACAACGTGGCGGACCATCAAAAAACGGTCGGGGTCAGTAGGGGCGGAGCGCCCTACTGATCCAGCAACGTCAAGAGAGTTCGCGGGACTCTTGACGAAGGTTGCTCCCAATACACAGTCACTGTGTGTTGCCGCTCCCAGTGATGAGGTATTCCTCATCACATTGAAGATCGAAGTGACAAAGAACATGTCACTTCGCGCCCTAGTTGATTGTGGGGCTTCGAACAACTTTGTTCGACGCCAATCGCTAGATGATCGTAGGCTCAAATATGTTGAGCGCGAGACCCCTCCAACGAGGATGACGGTGCGCCTTGCAACTGGCGCATCCGTAACAGTAAAGAAACGTGTAGTGGGAATTCACTACACGCTTGAAGTCAAAAATTACGATGATGATTTTCATCATACTTGACCTGGATGACAAATTTGATGTCATCCTAGGATTACCATGGCTCAGAAGGTACAAGCCATGGGTCAGCTGGCAGCATCGAACCGTGAAGATGCCTGCCGCTTGTTCATCAGATGGCCATCTGATGAATGTCTTGGAGCGTTCACAAGCGTGTGAATGTACTACGAGTGCGTGCGATGAACTCACTTGTGGTACGGTCGTTAGTAGGACTTCACAAGAGCTCAGTATGACAGACAATCATACCGTGGAGCAAGTTGCTGGCGGCTGTGCAAAAGCACAGGCAGCGCCGAAGGTCCACCACTCGAATAAGTCAAGTGGACCGGGACATGAATGCTCGCCTAGAGGGCAGCATTCACCGAAGAGTAAACCGGTTGCCCAGAAGCGGCAACACGGTAATCCTAGATCAACTGGAGAGTTGATCGTAGAGGATCTCGCTGTGGTTGCGCCACCACAGCTAGAGGAAGTCGATGGAACAGGTTCCATCGAGCCTGCGGGAATAAGTCCCCAGGAAATAGTCACTGAGGGAATAAGTCCCTAGGAAGTAACCGAGACGTTGAACGTCTTGGTTAACGACGGATCAAACGTAGGCGCTTATACATTTGATCTGATCGCGCCTCCGAAGTTAACTTCGGAGATAACTCAGTTTCCTCCGCTAGAACCTAAAAGGTTCTTGCGTGATCTGCGTAGTGGCAAAGTCAAGCAGATCTGTGTGCTCGTCGCAGAAGACGAATACATGACTGACATTCGGTCAGCAACAGTTTTTGCCGAGAACGAACGGGTTCTTAGCAGCTCATCAATGGACGAAAGTGTTCTTGATGAGAAGACTCGGATTGAACGATATACATCGCAATCCTGGGAGTCGCTGAAGCCAGATCCTTTGTACTAGGATTTGGTCGAATTTAAGGATGTATTCCCTGAATCCGTTACGTGCGAGTTGCCTAAGGATTAAGGTACTCGACACGAGATCGACCTTGCTCCTGGCAAAAAATATTGTGTCATGAAGCAGTGGCCACTGCCTCGGGAACAGGTCGAGGCGATCAACAAGTTATTTGCCGATCGCCTAGCAGCGGGCCATGTGAGGGAGTCAACCTCACCTCACAGCTCTCCGACCTTCTGTGTGCGCAAGGCCACAGGAGGGTGGCGGATAGTACACGCGTTCAACAAGTTGAACGCGGCAACGATACCGGCGCAAACGCCGATACCGAGAAAGGACGTAATCATAGATGGTATGTCTAAGAGTACCATCTTTTCGACCATGGATCTGATGGATGGTTTCTATCAGATCCTAATGCGTGAACGGGACATCCCGTACACAGCAGTGAGCACTCCCAGTGGTATGCTCTGGGAATGGTTGGTGACGCCGCAAGGGATTAGTAATGCAATAGCCACATTCAATAGATGTGTTTCACATCTATTGAGACCGGTGCGCGAATTCGCACCGAGTTACTCCGATGATGTGTTCGTCCATAGTCGAGCTATGGACGGGAAAACAGACGTGGAAGTCCATAGATTCCACGTCCGTAAGGTTCTTACACTTATGCGCGAGAGTACGCCAACCTCAAGAAGTGTATATTCGCAGCTAGCGAAATACCACTTCTTGGGTGCATCGTCGGAAAGAACGGCGTACGCCCTGATCCAGAGAAGATCAAGGCGATCACCGACTGGCCAGTGCCAGTCGATGTCAAGGGACTAAGGAAGTTCCTTGGGCTAGCGGCATACTTGCACAAGTACTCGCACAATTACGCCGAAATGACAGTACATCTTTCTTGTTTACTCAAGAAAAATGTTAAGTGGAACTGGAACGCTGATTGTCAGCGTTCCTTTGAGCGTATCAATCAAAGCTTGATGCAATCGCCAGTGTTGGCGATTGCCGATCAAGACAGACCATTTCATGTGGTCTGTGACGCCAGTGATTTTGCAATCGGCTGCGCACTGATGCAATATGATATAGACGGCGCCGAGCGTGTCGTCTGTTATCAATCGCGTCAGCTGCAACCGGCTGAGCGCAATTACCCGGTGCATGACAAGGAACTCCTTGCCATGAAGTATGCACTGGCTAAGTTTCGCGTCTATCTCTTAGGAGATAGACCGTTCATTGTATATACAGACCATGCGTCACTACGCACGGCTGTAAATAGTCCAAACCCCTCGCAACGAATGGCGAGATGGTTGTCGTTCTTCGCGGAGTACAACTTCTCCGTGGAGTATAAGCCGGGACGAGTTAACGTCGTCGCCGATGCTCTTTCACGTCGGCCTGACCTAGAGCCGACTGTGCAATCCGACATTGATGTGAACACCACTGTCGCCACGCTGAGTACCAGCGTCTTGTCGTCGATCTTACTCGACGACATTAGAAGGGCATGCGCACAAGATAATGATCTTGTACGCCTGATGGAGTACCTCAAGGACCCATCCACGCAAGCTAAGAAGCGCTTGCCTGCAATGTATCGATCGAGAGAAGATCGATACACCCAGCGGAACGGCTTACTGTACTATACAGCCGTCAACAACGACACGCCTCGTGTCGTTGTACCGCCACAACATGATCTCAGGTTACGGATCATGTTTGAATGTCACGATGCACCAATAAGTGGGCATCGCGGCCGTGAGAAGACCTACCTCACGGTCAGTCACGACTTTTACTGGCCACGACAGTATAAGTTTGTGCGCAAGTACGTGCGTGCTTGCGAGGTGTGCCAACGAGTGAAGCCTAGTCCTTCACTCCGTGCACCATTGCAG